CACTTCATGTTTGTGAGGAATGTTGTTAAGGAACTGCATTAACATCTATCCTGTAAATACGGTAACAACAGTGGTTACTCTTAAAAACACTAACTGACTCATATTTGTAAATAGGGATAAACAAACAAATTATCATAAAAGTTGGTTTTCATCTGCCTTGTAGCAAGAAATGACCTTAATTTGAAGAGTTTAATACAGCTGCTGATCAATGCCATTCTCTGGCTTCCATGACTCACTTCTGTTCTAATTATCCATCTTATTCATGTCTCTTGTGGAAAAGTGGTTTTAATATTCATGTAAACTACTGCTTGTTACAAGACTCCTGTTGTTGCAATCACTTGATAACTGGTTAAGGTCAACAAGTCTATTAGTTGATGCTTCATATAGATTGGACATTCATTTAGTTGACATAATTTACTTCAATAAAACTACAAACCATTATCATCATGGTCACAACTTTCAACAAACTAATTGTTTTAACATTAGTCGTTCAGCGCTACTTACAGTTGCACCATTTGTTTGAGTAAAAACATACACGTTTTTGTTCCTTATTCTCTTCCTTCCCACGTCCTTCTGGCTCCCCATCTCTCCCCTGGGACCCTGCTTGGTCTAACAGTGGCAGAGCTGGCTAGAGGCCCTTGGGGCTTTGCTGGCCCCACCTGCATTCTGATAGAATGAGACCAGATGAGCTCGGGAATGGACTGGATGCATTAAAGCAGCAAGGGGCTTTAAAATATAAACAGCCCAGAATGGTTCAGCTCTACAGAGTTACAGGGAAGGCAAAGAGCAAGACAGACGCACATAAAACCTCCAAACTGTACGAATCCATGTTCAAACTCACAGCTGAAAAGAACTAAAAAAAAAAAAAAAAAGTGCTAAAAACATCAGACACACCCAAACACTGGGAAGAAAGTCACACGCACAGCACATCTGCAGTTTTCCCGACACGAAGATTTTAAAACACATGCGCTCACACACCAACCCAGTCCACATACATACACACACACACACACACACACACTCTAATGGCAATGAAAATGAAGCCAGGAATATTACGGGAATGTTAACAACTTCATCATTTCATGATGCCAAGCAAAACTCAATAAAATTTGACCAACACCACTGAGATCATTCCAACACAATCAGCGCAGGAAATTGACTTTTTCAACAAACCGCCACAGTGGTCGGTGCTCCACAGATTTCCAAGACAAGTCTGCTGTTTAGCCAGCCTGTTCAATTTAAAGGAGACTCAGAACAAGCAGTTTTAACACTAAAAGTGTCTGAGCAAGGCTGAGTGGCTAAACAGCAACAAAGCAAGGGCATCCTCCCATCACCCCATACCAGTGACCTTCAAACCTGAGGGTGATGCAGAGTGTTTTTTGCCATTACTCATCACACCAGGTTGTCACTGCTATGACAAAGCATTAGTATGAGTCACAACCCTGTGATTTGCCCACTGCATGATGAACGCAACCTTAGACTTAACCTGATTGCAAGCAGTGACGTTTGGGTAACTTGAGTAATGACAAAGCATGACGAGCACAAGCTCATCAAATTTAACAAAAATGATACTAACACGGACAACACCATTGAGATGGAGTCATTGCTAATGGATCCGCAAATAGAAGCTGGTATTATATGAATTCTGAGCAGCCATTTTTTCCCGAAGTACTGTAGGATTAATGCGTTAAAGCTAAAGGGTCATCATGACACAGTACTACTTCATCACACATTGCACAAGTTTTTATATCTGGTTAAAATAATGACAAATAAGCAAAAAACGTTTCCAGAAGCAGAAGCAGCAATATTATTGAGACTGAAAGTTTATTTTGGACAGAACTATTTCACCTCCCGGGCCATTTAGCAGCTGTTCAGGAGCTTTCATACAATCCTCCTCAGCAGATGGACGGCGCCTCCTCCACACATAGGTCACATCCAGCAAAAGTAAGGCACTAGTAAGCATTTAGCGTGGGAACTTGCATGCAGATGGAGGAGCTTCAGCTGTTTTCTCCGATAGTGCTGCTCCTAGTCTGCTTACTAACCAAAATGTGTGACACCAGGTTTCAAAAAATTACTACAAAGCTACCACTGTGGCTACTATTTTGCAGCGTTACCTAATTTTTATGCATAATTTTACTGCATATACTGTATGTAATATCATAAAGAGAAGGTCTAGACCTGCTCTATATGAAAAGCGCCTTGAGATAACGTCTGTTGTGAATTGGTGCTAGACAAATACTTACTAACTTAACAATAATTCTGTCAATTACAGAACTGAAAGAAAGATACATATATATATATATATATATCATGTGGAGGACCCACTCATTGCTGTTTAGGAAGTTTGGTGTGAAAATCTGATATGTTACTTCCCGTGTGAAGAGATCTTGACTAAAAACCAACATGGGCAAGAAGAATGTGACATATGTAAAGAGAGGAATCTTGAATCTCCCCTCTACCTAAAGGGATTTCACTTGATGTCCATCGGTTGCTCAAGCTTAAGGCACGTTTGCACACTTTACTCACGTGTGTCCCAGGTTAGCCAGAGAGAGGAAACACATGCATAAGTGTTCGGAAGAAAAAGAAGAACCAGCCGTCAGACATTTTGCCTTTGCCGACCACAGACGCTTGCAAGAGACATGGTGTTTCCTGTGTGTGCTGTGTTGCTTAAAAAACTGCTCAAAACAGCAGAGAGGATGCTGCTTCATGCTCTGCACCTTTCTATAAACATGTTCCAGACAGCTACTGCTACCAAACAAATGAACCCTGGAAAATATTAAAGTCAAATCACTATTTTGAAGTGAGTCCCGAGCGTGTAAACTTTTCTGTCTACATTCACATGACGTATAGTTTCTGGAAAAAAAAAAAAAAAAACATCTACTAAACTCTGACTTTAGCACAACTTGGATCAATGAGACGCCATAACATCACTCTTTGCGGATTTTATTCTAGTGTTGTGCAGACTTGACTATCCTGTGCAGATGGCTGAACCTGTGTCATGTTAAATTAATGATCCCGGGGTGCTATGGAGTAGCCTGGCTGTAAAAGCCCTTCGAGCAGGCTTCCCCTGCAAGGCAAATGAGGTGATGGCTTCATCTATCTATCTGTGCAGTGAGAGGAAGGCAGTAACCCAGTGAGGCATCTGATGTCTTAATGAAGTGACTTTCTCTGTGTGCATGTGTGCGTTGTTCTGTACTGTGTGTCTGTTTCTGTATAATGTGTATACATGCATGCACGTGTGTGTGTGTGTGTGTGTGTGTGTGGTATGAGTCTGAGTCATTAGTGAATCCCAGAGGTCTGCTATGGCAGTGAGAGAATGCACAGGATCTTCTGACTATCACCCTGCTAGAGGAGGAATCAGGTTTCTGGATCAATAAGAATCAATCACAAGCAGAGTCATTGTAGAATATGAAGGAAGTAAAATAACATAATAAAATAAAGCTTGATCTAATCAACAGTTTGTCTTTCTATGGTTCATAAAATAAAATAAAAAATACATTCAGCAGTCTGACTCATTGGCGTGTGGCTTATAAGTCAAAGCTGTATTGTCCTTTCTTGTCCGTCCAGAAAGAGATACTATGTTTTCTTCCTCTTTCTGCACCATTTTTTGGACTCCTCTCAATTCATAGCTTCAGAACCTTCATTCACTCTGGTACAAGCCATTAAGAGAGAGACACCAGACACCAGTACAGAACAGTGATAATGGATTACTGATGTTATTATGGTTCAATAAGGCCTCTCTAAACAACATCCTCTGATCCACAGCCAGAAAAACAGCTCTGTGTGTGTGTGCGTGTGTGTGTGTGTGATATACATTTATAGCCTGTGTAACATCCCCTCTACCATTATATCATCACAAATGGGAAACCCCCAAAGATACATTGAGAAAAACAATGGACTTTTCAGGGGCATTTTGCTGCTGTAAGCAGGTATTTGGCATGTCTTTCATTGATCAAATGATCAATCTATCGATAAATCAATCACTTCACAAAGCATATGAGAAAACAAATGTAGTTTCATGTCCACAGCTTGAACTTGAAGATATTATTTTTGCAGGGATATATTGTATTTCACCATGGCAATATTAAAAATTCTAGTCAACGTAGTGCCATTGTGAAAGTCCCACATATTACTATAAGGCTATTTCACTGTTACATGATTGCGGTTTGGAAAATACTGGAGAGAGGTTTGGCATGTAGACAGTTTATTCTTGTTTCTTGTCTTTATTTCTAACTTAATTTTAGCTTCTTTTTTTTTCTTTTTAAATATTTTTTGATAATTTTGTAAATAATTTCAATTTAACAATCTTGTACCGTGGCAATGCAGCATTTCACTAGACCTTGGACTTGTATAATGATGTTAGACACAAATAAAGATTGATTTGATCATTATTTTTGATTTAACAACAGCCAGATGGAGACACAAGCCAGATGTGGGATTTTTTTTATGATTCTCTTGCTAACACACAAAATGTGGTACTGTATGTCAGCTTAACACCAGAGCCCACCCCATGGTGGAAGAGACACCTCATAAGTCATCAAATCACAAAACATATCACACTCTTTAATTTTCTCTTCTAAGAGCCAATCATGTGTCTGACCCAAATCATAAGGAGAACCTGAAAAAGAAGACGTCAAGAGTCATCTCAGTCCTGTCAGGCTTACAAGTTAAAACTCATCTGTCCTCCATTTGTTAACCAGTCAGTTGTTGTTCTCAGCATGCATCTGTGTATTCCACAGTTAGCCCCCTTCCTATCTGCCACCCACAGTGTCAGCAGACAGCAGTGCGTGCTTGTGTGTGGCAGCCTCAAAGTGACCTGCTTTTCCCAACATTGCCTTTTTCTAAACAACAGGTGCCTGAACCAGAAGTGACTCACAAACACATTTGCGCAAAATAAAAAACTCCTGATAGATGTGGAAACACTGCAAGATAATAAGATGGAGCAGAGATACAGAGACGTATAAATGTAAAGAAAGTGTTATTTGAGTATTTTCTCCTACCTGGTTGTTGACATAATCCTGAAGACGAGACGCCAGCAGAAACATGAAAAGAGAGGAGAAACACAAGAAAACACAGTCATAAAGGGACACTGAAAACTCTGCGTGTCTGTGTGTGCTAAGAGTGAAATGGTAACACTATAGCATATCATCATCTTCTAATCTATATTCTCATTTAATAAAAGAAAAGTGAGCATGTCAAGGGCCTCATTCAGTCACTCAACAATGACCAGAGTTTAATACATGTCACAGCACTACGATCTCATATTAAGGATGCTTTCTTTTTGCCAAACGCGTGTCTCGCTCCTCTTGCCCTCCGGTCTTGTTTCAATTTAATGCAGGACTAATTTAATTCTCAGTATTTCCAGGACATTTGCACTGTTCCACTTGTTTGTTTTTGTCCTGCTTCTTTGGAGTAGTGCTGCGCTAGCACATCGGAGTGGTCTGCCTTTACATAATAAATGCAGTCACAGAGAGGAATGTGGATGGGGGTTCGGCGACGCTGAAGGCTAGAAATGTAATTTAAAAATGTGGAACAATCACCAAGAGACTACAGAGGCAGGTAGGGTCGGTAGAGGACACTTTAAGCTCTCCATTAAGCCCCTTTGTAACGCCCCAGGGAGCTTTGCATGAGCTGGGGAAAGTGTGTGTGTGTGAGCTAAGTGCTGAAGTTTGTGTGTGTGTGTGTCTGTGTGTCTGTGTGTACACAAAAGCGTGGCTTCTGGTGATTAGTCAGAACTGTAACCGACACAGTGCTGGCCTCCAGTGATCATATCAGAAGGAGGGAAACTCAACTTCATACAAAAGGACACACACACACACACACACACACACACACTCACTTTCAATACTTTTCTTAGTCCCGCCACAGTATCAAGAGGTCTTATGACAGACATAGATTATGACTCCTTACAAAATTCCCTTTTTATTGCATCGAAAATGTGTGTGACATTGTGATGTTTTTTTGGGTATTTAACCTCTCTGTGAAAAATGTATATGTCAAAAAGCATTTTCCTCCTGCTTTTGTTGTCCAGTAGTACTTTTTTAATCTTACATTTTGAAGGTAACAGAAAACACAAAACTTTTTTCTAATTAACTAATTTCTCGTACTAAATATTAAAGAAAGAGGAGGAGGATTTGACAAAAGAAGACATTAGTCAGTGTGTTTCAGAAAGTTTCAGAAAACAAGACATGTGCATGTTCAGTAGATCAGAAGTTAAGGTGTAATTGTGTTCGGTTAAGCTCCTACTATAGAAGCTGTTCTAACCTTCTACATTACTCTAAGAGTGTAATTTCATGGTAAAACAACAATTTGCCTGACATCTGCATTCATAATGTAAATGCTAACAAGGTTTAGCTTTAGCCTCCGCTGACAGTGACGGTGTTGCTCCTACCGTGTTGTAGCCGGTGGGTTCTTGGCCGTCTGTGATGAGTTCCCGCTCTCCCCTAGGGTTAACCCTCCTGAAACGCCTCCTGGACCTGCGTTGGGATCCCTCTCTCTGCAGAAAACTGTCGTCCCCCTCGCTGCCGTTATCCACCTGCAATACACAGTCAACACCCTCCTCAGAATAGCAGCTTCTATGGGATTTGCAGCCAAAACCCTCAGGTGTGTGTGGACAGCTGGAGGAATGATCCTCACAGTTTGACACCTGAGAAAAGGGTTCAGAGGAGGTGCGTTTTAGTAGTTCGGACTTTTGGATCTTAGAATCCAAGTTACGATTTGTAAATTCCAAGGTCTGGTTTTCAATTTCTGATTTCGGGTTTTTATAATCCAAATTCTGGGTGTTAAGTTCCGTCAAGTTCTGAAAGTCTAAGTTGTGATCCTTGAATGTGTTCCCTTGCTTTTCCCGTGGCTCTGCTTCCTGCCCTGGAGCTTCTGAGATCTGGCCCTGCTCTTCTGCCGGCTCCTGGTTGAACATCCAGTTCTTCCAGAGTGCAGAGAGCCGGTGCCAGCGTAGCACACTCATCCTGACGCAAGGACGAGATCAGAACAACACATAAAAGCAGGAAATTCCACAAGAGGGGAGGAAAAAAACAGCAGGGGAAACGCTTCTATACAAATGCTGAATAGAAGTGTTGCGTCCAAATTAAAAAAAAAAAAATGGTCCAAAATCCAGAGGGATCCCAAAACATTACATCCTGCGGGACAAGCATCCAAAACAAAACACAGATCAAAATTAAATGAACAAACAAACTGATCGACGATGAGGGCAGAAAAGACGTTTCACGTCTCTTTCGTTTCACATTTGGCGAGAGCTGTCCTCTTCTGAGGGCTGGAGGGTTCAAGATAGTCAGAGACAGACAGAGTTCAGCTGCTCAACACGTTGCATACTCACAGACTTACTCACATGCTTGCTCGCTTGTTCTCTCTCACTGTCTGACACGCGCACACAGCATACATTGAACCCACAGTTTCCTCCAGGAAACCGTAAATACACAAATGTCCTAACCCGGCAGAAAAAAAGAAGAAAAAAAACCAAACAAAAAACAACAGAGCACACAGATTCCGGCCATACAATTTATTCCCCGTAGTTTTTTTGTGCTGTTCTGTTGTTGCAGGAGGAATGGTTTTTTTTCTCCATTGCATAATGATAATGAAGTTAGTAGCCTTATTATGACAGCAATGACGACACTTCAAAAAAATGCATATATGTTACACAACTTTTTTCAAAAACTCTTTTTATCGCCCTTACTAAGTTGTTTTTATTTTTTATTTTTTTGCTTTAACTTGTCTTTTATTTTCTTGAGTTTTTATTTTTGTTTTGTTTTGGGTTTTTGGGTTTTTTTGTTTTTGGTTTTTTTTTTTTACAGAATGTTTGATCATTGATATTCTTAACATAAGTTTTGTGTTACCGTAGAAAACGATTTCACAACTGCAATTCTTCCTCTTACTTTTGTCTCTTTAGTACTAATTTCTCCCATTTGAATCTATTGATTAAGGGTTTATGGTCAGCTGTTGCCTAGTTTCAGAAGTGAACTTCATCTTTTGAAGTATGATTGGATAATCAGGTGCCTTTTAATAAGTGTGCCACTCGTTGCTCTTTGCTCGGTCAAAATATCACAGCTTTTTGTTCAACCTCCCAGTCTGACTAACTTTCTGTCAGTGTGAGAAGTCACACTGACTGTCTCTCTCACTCTTTCTGTCTCTCTCTCTCGCTCACCTGATGTCATTTTCTTGCTCATCTTCCTTTCTGGTTGGTTGTGAGCTTTACGCTCCAACCTTCATCTGGATTTTTCCACTTTGCGTCTGGTTATGTTCTAAATAGTTGCTGGTAGCTCATGTACTCCTCATGTAATCTATGTGCATTGAGTGAGCAGAGAATGACTAAAATATATTTTACAATACTCAATCTCTTCAAAATGTTCTCAATAAAAATGTCTTTTCCAACCAACGCCCCAAAAAATGAATTACCGTTAGACCAGTGACCTGTGGCCAGTGACACAATGGAACCGATATAAATTCAAAATATATAGAGATTTGTTTCAAAATTACTGTTATTTTATTATTATTATGACAAGAATGCTAGTACAAAAATATTATAGCCTATAACATATTATGGGCTACGTTTACAGTTAGAAGTTATAACAAAGATCAAATGACTAGGTGGGATTTTGGTGTGAAATCTTTCAAATATTTCTCTAGTCTTTCGACTTCCCCATTTGGATTTACAGTATGATCATTTGAAAGTTATAAAGAGGAAGATTGCGTCATATCATAGGTTCTCCATGGACAGTGACCTTTGTGACTTCCCCCCAGACCTCAATGTCAGTCATGTGTATTCACAAAGGTCTTAAATATACAGCTCCATGATCAGCCACAAAGAGTTATGAGGTATGACCACTGTATTTAAGCAGATAGGACGATCATTTGTGTTGCATTCCTGTATGCCTGCGTGTAACACACACAATAAAACTCTTGATAATTTGAGATCATGGAAAGGCTGGGATTATAATTCTCAGAGGCAAACATCACATCACATCACATCGCATCGATCAGAAAGCATCTTTAAAATAAACTGTAAGAGAGAAGATGGGCCCAAAGATTGTCTGTCACTGCTGAAATGGGACTCAATGGCCACAATGGGTTGACACAGACAGGAGAACAACCTTGTGTGACACACAGAATAACTACTGCATTGTGGGTAGTTAAGCCATAATGGACTCTGAAACAACTGCATAAGGGATAGTTCAACTATAAAATACCAAATAACAGTAGTAAAAGTAGCCAGTACTGGTATCGATGTGTCCCTCCTCATGGCAAAAAGTGTCATCTTGCCTTCGTTTAATGAGCCTCATGAGACGAACAGCCTGAAGGTAACACAGAAGAAATTCTTAGGGGGAAGGTTAGAAATGTACCAGATTTTCATGGCTATCCTGTGACCATGTAACTATCCTTTTGTCTCAGTGTAAATGCCTCTCTGGCTGCTTGACTGAACCCATATCTGTCCCGTGACGACCAGTTCCCTCGGCGATTGAGAACTGTTGCTTCTATGATTTTGACTGACGGTCATGGCCATAATGTGACCAAATTTCCTGTTTCCTCTATTTAAATATGTGTGTGTGACTAACTTCACATCTACTCATCTCTCAGTTTACATTCCTCTGTCCGTCTGCCAGCATGAATCATCCCCACTTTTTTTTTCTTTTAGCTCTTTTCATTCATTTCTTACCCTCCTCTTCCCTCTACTTACTTCCATACATTCCCCTCCATTCCCACCACACACACAAACATGCACACACACATATACACACACACACACACACACACACACACACACACACACACACACACACACAAACACACACACACACATATACACCACACAACACCAGTAATAAAACAACCCCACCCTGTCACTCTATGAATGTCACTCCTGTCCATCCTGTGACCAGAGTCATGACGACAGCCACAGATTACACTCCCCCTTCTATTCCCATGGCCCTAATTAGCTGATTGGCTGCAATGCAGTGTGGGCTAGACCACAGTAACTCTGCTCTTGTGTGTTTATGCGTTCATCATAGAGTGTGTATGTGCATGCTTGTTCGTGTGCATTTGTGCTCCTCTTCTTGTCATTTCGCTTGTTTTTCTTCAATTTGGGAAAAGACATGCTAGTATTTAATTTGTTTGTCCAGCTATTGCTATTCAAGCTGTATACAGTTTTTTTTTCCTGTTTATTCCTAACAGACTGTTGCTGCTGCCTGAATCCTAACATGCATCAATTACTGTGCATCAAAATGTTTTGACAAGGAGACACAGATTAGTTAAAGGATGCAAAAGGATCAAGTACTGTTAAATTTGATATGTTATTCAACACTGAGAACATAAGACAGTTAAACAATCTCGCTAGGTTTCGTAAAATAATTATGGCTACTTAAATAATGACGGTGTACATACCAGATTGTGTTTTTTTGCTAATTATATTATATTATTTATCTATTTATTTAGCATTTTCTTCTGTAATGTATCTGGGCAACAAAGCTCGCTGTTTGTTGCCTTTGTTATCATTCTTTCTTTTTAATGTGCAACTAAGTCCATGTACCTTCTGGAAGGGACATTGTGGAATTAAGAAAAGTCTGAAGTGGAGCAGGACTCTGGCTCTACGGTTTGGCAGCCCCTGATTTAGTGTATTTTACTTGTAGTTTGTTGTGATAATTCAGATCCAAAGATCCACCCTCTCTTCTGTGCTGCAGCTGGTAAAAGCGTTACAAACATGAAGGTGGACGAGGATATGCTTGGATATCAACAACAACAACAACTACAACAACCACAGCCTCGACACAATCTCATTTCCAAGCTCTCAGACTAAAATATAAATACTTACAGATGAAAACAAGCATGTCCACCATTACCAATAGCTCTCTCTGCTCTTCTGGATGTGGATGGTTTAATATAAACACAGGCAAGTTTAATTCAAACCAATTTTATTCCCTCAACCACAAAATCATCTTTTTTTTTCTTTTTAAATGAAAATGATTTTATCTTTTGTTAACTGAGCTGGTTGGGCCTTTTCCTAAAATGCCAAACTATTCACAAAATCATCAATACCACCACTCCCTTCTCCTGCAGTAGCAATAGCCTCTGAGTGGACCCACAGGGGTAGTTTAGGATTGAGTGCCTTGCTGAAAGGGCATCTCACTATTATCAACCTTTTTCACTATGGGAACTTTCCGGGAAAATTATGTTGTGATGTCACTGGAACTGCTGGAGTGAAGTTTCCAGCCTTGACTGTTGCTTACTGGTCAAACACAAACCTCACGGCTGCTACAGTGTGAGTACACACAGTAAGTGAGCACTGGAATTTAGTTAGTATTAATGTTTCAGAAAAAACTAAATAAAAAGAGCTGAGGAGATTAAAAAAAAGACACAAGGGGTGAATGAGAGAAGTAGCGACTACATGAGTGCGGGAAATTCCATCAAGCAACAGTAAATGACAATAAAGTTGTTGATTACAGTTGTGTCTTTGTCACTGCTCTGTTATCAGCCTAATTTATCAGTCACACTTTGCACGTGGTAGTTATGCAATGTGCAAAAGGGACTTTTGGTTCCTGAGTGTGGTTGCTACAGATCGTTGTTTCCTGGGGGGGTTGGTTGGTTGATGAGGGGACAGTGTTATACTTTTACTTTCCCTGTATCCAGATTTGTTGCTTTGCTCAACATTCTTCATCTTTTACCTGTAGGCTACTAGTGACCCATTATTTAACTGCTAATTCATGCAGATCCACACCCTCCTCCAGTCAGCAATCCAAACCAACACCAGGCAGACACAAGCACTGACTATGACTAATGTATGACTATGTTTGGTCATGTCTGGCCATTTACTTATACTGAAAAATGATACAAAAAATAGGCTGCATGATTAAAAACAAAGGAATGGTTAAACTGCAGTCATAATTATTTCTACATTATCAACATTATTCATAACTGTAATGTTTTTACAATCAGTAATTTCATTGTATAGTTAATATGTATAATACTCAAGGAAATGTCTGACACTTTGAGAAGTCTCCTCGTTTGCTCTCTGGCGGAGAGTTATGTGAGCATAATGTGAATTGTGTTGACATCCAAACATTATTAACTGACTCAAC